TTTGGTTCAGGTCAAGCTGATCTTCTCTCGCCGATCTTGCCTAATAAACAGCTGGCTAGTGGTTGTTGTTCCTTCGGCCAATGGACAGGGCAAGACTGTCCTTTCGCCTCCTTTCTGCAGTCCAAGGCCATCTGTCACGGCTATGAATTCAGCAGGGTTGAGTTTGCATATAACACTTAATGTGGTTCCTGACAAATTTAAGGGGAAATACGGACCCTTTTCTCTTTGCTGAAACCACACCCACCTCTTCCTCATTTACTGTTTGGAGGAGAAATTGAGCCAGTTGTGGTGTGGTAGCTGGAGTGTCGGACTAGGACCTGGGAGACCAGAGTTCAAATCACCAGTTGGCCACGAAGCTTACTGGGTGATCTTGGGCCAGTCACTACTTGTCAGCTGGACCTACCTTGCAGGGTTGCTCTGAGGATAAAATGGGGAGGAGAAAGACTATGCATGTCACCTTGAACTCCTTGGAGGACAGGTGAGTTATAAATGAGATAATTAGATCAATAATGAATACAATAAACTGTGTCTCGTTCTCCCTCCCTTTTTGGGAGTCGGAGGAGTAGCTTCCATAGACCAGGCCAGGCACTATATGGTTTTGTGTTTATGTTTTTCTGACTAGAACCCTGTGATCCACTAACTTGAACCAAGTTCCACATAGTGGCTTTTACCTGATGCACTTTTATGTGATGTGTGTGCTTTGTGTGTGTGCAGGTGCAGAACATAGATTTAAGGACCAGGGTTCCTTTGGGCATTTGCTTAGCCCACAAATCATGACTAGGTCACAGAATCTGCTACTGCTGCTTAGTCTTTAGATGGTTTGGGCAGGATTTTTGTCAATTGATCAGTCATTAATGGTTGAGGGTGTGGGGTTTGTTTAGCCTGGAGAAGAGAAAACTGATGTTCTAAGACATGATAGCCATATTCGATTATCTGAACGGCTGTCACATAGGAGATGGAGCCAGCTTGTTTTCTACTGCTACAGGGGGTAGGACACAAACCAGTGGCTTCAAGTTTCAAGAAAGGAGATTCCAGCTAAACATCAGGAAGAACTTTCTGACAGTCAGAGCTATTTGATAGTGGGATGGACTTACCTTGGAAAGTAGTAGGCTCCTCTTCTTTGAAGGCTTTCAAGCAGAGGTTGGATGGCCATCTTGTTAAGAGATTCTTTAGCTAGATTCTTGCATTGCAGAGGGTACGACTGGATGACCTTGTGGTCTCTTCTGACTTTGCATCATTCTGTGATTTATTATCCCGTCACAGACTCAGAGCATACAAAGAATGGAAACGTTGAAGATTAATTAAAACATTTCCTTGTTTAAAATTCAGGATTATGCAAAAGATAAGCTATGCACATATTTAAAATACTATACGATATGGAAAAGAAAAACATGAGATACATTTTGCAATTAACGTGAAAGTTTCATCTTCGGAGACCTTTCAGCTGAGAAGCAAACCTTGGTCATTAACGTTGTTATTCTTTTTATCCGCCAAGAAATATTCCATTCCTGCGTCTTGCCAGAGTGTTTCTTCATAAGGGACAAAAGCTTTTTGTTGGTTGGAGATCTGTTGGTAGATCCCAATCTACCTTCTGTCCTGTCCTGCCATATATAGTGGCCATGTTCATGTGTTCTAGTCGCATCTTGTGGTGTTAGGGATAATCCTTGTTAAAGGTACCTCCGTTGTTAATCCTCTTCTTGTTCTTAAGGGAAATTCAAATATATATTTTTGTAATGTTTATTTCCCAATAAACTGAGTCCCTTCCTCCAACTCCTTAGAATCTGCATCTCGGAGTGGCAGATGTCTGTCATATCTCTCTGGCATGCATAGATGTGTGTAAATGGACATGCATGATCTCAGAATGTCAGGTTGCTATTTGCTGTGGACTAGCATACCCAGTCCCACCCGTCCCACCCTGCCTGGACAACTGTCTGTCCAGATAAGTAAATTTATTAGACAGACAGGCAGTCTTTGAGTAGCATCTCTTCTAGACATAGAATCTCTATTGTGAGATTCAAACCCTCTTGCATGTGATTTTAAAAAATATTTTTTAAAAGAACGAACTTACCAGGGGGCATTTACCAGCACACATTGCTTCAAATCCCACGGTAGGACAGACTGTTCTGAGATAAAATGGAAACCCTCTTAGAATCATAGAGTTGGAAGGGACCCTGAGGGTCATCTAGTCCAGTGTTTCCCAACCTTTTTTGGGCAAAGGCACACTTGTTTGATGAAAAAAATCTCGAGGCACACCACCATTACAGCCCCGTGACGTCAGCGCGCAGCGTCGCGCCGGGAGGGACGCACGAAAGTGTAAGTTTCAATTTTTTTCCCTCCCCTCCTGTGTAAAGGGGAATGCACTCTGCTAAGTAAAGGCACTTGCCAAAATTCTGACCGTGAGAAGTTAAAGTGCGGCCTAAATTCGTGACCTTACAAAAATTGGCTTTTACGATATCACTGCTGAAACAGACACACGGTAAAACGGAACAAAAAAAATGTTTTATTGTCAATTTGCGAGCTTGAGACGGTTGTGCAATTAAGTCTAATGTCATTCATTGCTTTCCCCATATTTTACAGTGCAGTAGTGATTTTTTATTTGCATTTATGGTGCTACAGACAAGTGTTTAACCCACTTGCAGGTCCTGTACAGGCCCCCAGCAGGCAATACCCGAATGTAAGCCGCTTGCTTAAAATTCCACAGGCATTCACACCCGTAAATGGCAAATGTAGAAGAAAATCCTACGGGTACTAGAGAGGACCTGCAAGTGGGTTAAACACTTGTTTGTAGCACCATAAATGCAAATAAAAAAATCACTACTGCACTGTAAAATATGGGGAAAGCAATGAATGACATTAGACTTAATTGCACAACCGTCTCAAGCTCGCAAATTGACAATAAAACATTTTTTTTGTTCCGTTCATCCAGCACGGAGGTAGGCTGGTGTGCCGTGGGAGGGAGGCGGGCGAGTCGTGCGGCGAGCACACGCGGGGCGGCGAGCGAGCTCCCTCCCACATCCCATCGCCGCTCGCTTCGGCCGGCCTACTGGGCTGTCGCAGGCGGAAGGCCTGCGCATGCGCGAGGTTTTCGCGCCTTCCTCCAGTAGGCCGGCCGAAGCGAGCGGCGATGGGATGTGGGAGGGAGCTCGCTCGCCGCCCCGCGTGTGCTCGCCGCCGCCGCCCCGCCTCTCGCCGCCCGACTCGCCCGCCTCCCTCCCACGGAACACAAGGCAACGTTCCGCGGCACACTAGTGTGCCGCGGAACACCGGTTGGGAAACACTGATCTAGTCCAACCCCCTGCAGTGCAGGAATATATAGCTGTCCCATGCAGGGATGAAACCTGCAACCTTGCTTTTATTAGCACCACACTCTTGTCAGCTCTAACCAACTGAACTATCCTGACTTGCAAGGTCTCTGTTCCCAATGCTGTTTAACATCTCCAAGGGCTTGCAAGGCCTCAGACTTGAATTCTGGTGCTTCACGAGGCACCGGAAGATGTATCGGGGGTCCAGCAATGTGGGTTCTAAGCACCCACAACAAATTTTTGTGGGTTCTCAGGCCCCTGGGGCCCCCTATGGTTGGCACCCCTGACCTGATCCAGCAGGGCTTTTCTTGTGTTAAGCAGACAATATGTTAGCAGGTGATTTCTGGTGTTGGTGACAGAGAGCATCTAACACGTGGGCTGATGTGAGCTGCTCTTGCTAACCAGTTTGTTACCAGGTGAAATTCAAGGTGGTGAGGCTCTGCTTTTAACCTGAGCATTGATTGCTGAAGGTGTGTCTTCTTCCATATGAGACCTTCCCATTCTTTAAGAACTTGCTTAGATTATTTTCTTTGTATGCTGGTGGTCATTGTGGAGAGGGCTTCCTTGATGGTGGCCTACAGATCACAGAACCAGTGACCTATTCATTCATTCATTCATTCATTCATAGCATTTCTACCCTGTTCTTTAGCTGAAAGGGCTTCCAGAACTGCTGACGAAAATGAGTAGTAAGGCAGTCTTTGCCCTTAGGTTTACATTCTTAAAGTTAAGGTTCTTGTAATGGACAGCTGGTATGGAGAGTTCAGGTAGCAATTGAGGGAGCACGTATGTCTTTTTCCATACCCTAACAGAACAGCACCCAGCAGATTCAGGGCTGTGTCTCTTCAAAGGAAACTGTAAACAAGCTTTTAATGTTTGCCACATCTTTGGGGAGACGGAATGCTCATTGTCTCCTTTACATAGTTGTTGATGTTTTCACTGCATTTTTTTTTAATTATTATTCTCCATCTGGAGACCAGCAAGCAAAATATTTTTTACAAATAAATATAAATGCAGAATGCAGCAGGTAAGAAATTTTTGGGAGGTTCAGACAGTGAACCTTAACATGAGAACAAAGGTTTTTGCAGTGGGGCACATTGATCACTCTTCTTTTCCCCTTTGGTGTGCTAGAAGGAATTTTCTTAAACAAAAAAATTTATTTGCTTCTGAAATGGTTATGCTTTCAGGCTAATTTGTATTTGATGGAAGATTGATATACAGTAGCTGGGCCAAACAAGCATCTAATTCTCACTGAGGTTGTCAGTCAGTACCAACTGACTGTACCAATTCAGACTGCACATGAGGGCCCATGTGACTGACATTTCCTCCATGTCAGGAAAAAAGGACAAAGTCTTACACGTTAAAAATGAGTTCTCTGGGTTGAAGGCTTTTTACCTGACCTGTTACTCTTCATACGTAGGAACCATTTTTGGTCGGGTACCATTCCATGGGCAGAACCATCACCTGCAATCTGAAGTAGCACAGTGCAGGTTCTAGGTCAGACTACAATGCCCACCAGCCCCTGCAGGCCAGACTACAACTCCCAGCAACCCCTGCGGGCTGGACTACAACTCCCATCACCCCCTGCATCATATGGCCAGGCTGTAGAGGCCTTGACCGCACACCCATCTCTGTTCATATGACTTTGTCTCTTTGCCAGATCAGCCCAAGTGAGCCACTGGTGTTTGTTGGTCTTTGCAGGCAAAACCCAGAGCACCAGCTGCAGCAGAGGCCTCCTCACCACCACAGCCCAACGTCTTCACTCACCTCCTTGGGCTCCATGACGCTCCTGCAGTCGCTGCCTCCCTCGAGGGTATCTCCTTCCCAGCCTCCTAACACTCCTGTCCAAGGAGACCCTTTCTCCCAGCAACGGACCCAGCAGCTCTTTATGCCCAGCCATGTCCACCAGGGAGAGCTTTACCGGCTCTGCCAGCCTGTGGTTGGGCAGCCACAGCAGCATTTCCAGCAGCAGCAGCAGATGCAAATGCAAATGCAGCAGCAACATCATCAGCATCAGCAAGGGGACTCCTACTCGGCCCTCAGCAGGCCCCAGCCGACCCCTTCCCCATACCAGCAGATGCCTGTCGACCCTTTCGCCATTGTCTCCAGGGCCCAGCAGATGGTGGAGATCCTCTCTGATGAGAACAGAGCTTTGCGCCAGGAGCTGGAAGGATGCTATGAGAAAGTAGCCAGGCTCCAAAAGGTAAGAACTGGTGAAACCTCCCCATCCCACCCCCATTTAGTATTTCATTCTTAGGAGTGTAAGAGGTGCCCTTCAGACCGCTGCCCTTCCAAGTCCAGCATCCTGTTCTCACAGCGGCCAACCAGATGCCTGTATGGAATCCGCAGGCCAGGCCTGAGCACAAGAGCCCTCTCCTGTCCTGCAGTTTCCATCAACAGCATTGTTGCCTCTGACCGCGGAGGCCAAGTGCAGCCTCCATCATGGCTAGTAGCCCTTGATAGCTTTATCCTCCATTAATCTGCCCATTCCTCTTTCTAAGCCATCCAAGTTGTCAGCCATCACTGCCTCCCGTGGGAGGGAGTTCCACAGTTTAACTATGCACTGAGTGAAGAAGTACTTTCTTTTATCTGTCCAAAATTCTTCCTACATTCAGCTTCATCAGATATCAGCAAGTTCTAGTTTTATGAGACAGGGAGGAAAACAATTCTCTATCCACTTTCTCCAGGCCATGCATAATTTTATGGACTCCTATTGTTTGGCCTCTTACTCGCCTTTGCTCTGAACTGAGAAGTCCCAAATGTTGCCACCTTTCCTCATAGGGGAGTGATGGCATTCTCTTCATCACTTTGATTGCCCTCTTTTGAAGTCGGAGAACACCACGGTTCTTGTATGCAAGCATCTACTGGGAGCACCTTTTTATGTCTTGGTTTAGCCTGCATGTATACTGTTGGACCACATTTGCTTTTACGTACATCTGCTGCTGTCTTGCTTATGGCTTCAGAAGACCCTTGCACAGTGGCTGAGACCTGCTTTGTACAGAGAGAGTCCTGGCTTCAGCCCCCAGCAGCATCTCTAGAGAGGGCTGGGCAAGTCTGGCCTGAATCCTTGGAGAACAACTTCCGGTCAACGTGCATAACACTTGAGCCACGTTGAGCAAGAAGGCAGCTTCCTATTGCACATGTCCTAGAAATTGTGGCTTTTGTGAGGGTGTTGAAACACCTCTCGTTGACCCACAAAACTTTGCATTCTTTGGAAAGGTGGAGGAGACTCATTTCATAGAATTGTAGAGTTGGAAGGGACCCTACAAGCTCTTGCAATGCAGAATCTCAGCTAAAGCCTCCATGACAGATGGCTATCCAACCGCTGCTTTAAAATCACCAAGGAAGGAGAGTCCACTACATTCTGAGGGAGTCTGTTTCACCATTGAGCAGCTCCTACCACTAGAAAGTTCTTCCTGATGTTTAGTCAGAATCTTGAAGCCATTGGTTCAGGTCCTACTCTCCGGAGCAGGAGAAAACAAGCTTGCTCCATCTTCCATGGGACACCCTTTTAGATGGCTTGTGGGCATCCAGTGAAGCTGAATGTTGGCAGATTCAGGGCAGACAAAAGAAAAGACTTCTACACAGCACAGAGGTAAACTATGGAACTTGCTCCCACAGGAGGCAGTGATGGACACCAACTTGGATGGCTTTAACAGAGATTTAGACAAATGGATGGAGGCAAGGGCGATTGATGGCTACTAGCCAGGGTGTCATGCTCTGCCCTCCACACCTGGAGGCAGTAATGCTTCTGAATACCAGTTGCTGGAAAGCACAAAGGGGAGAGGGCTCTTGCTTGTGGGCTTCCTTTTGAGGCATCTGGTTGACCACTGTGAGAACAGGATGCTGAACTAGATGGGCCATTGTTCTGATCCATTGGTCAACCTAACTCAGTATTGTCCACACTAACTGGCAGCAACTCTCCAGGATTTCAGACATGGGGTCTCTACCAGTCCTACCTGGAGATGCTGGGGCTTGAACCTGGGACCTTTTGCATGCACAGCAGATGCTCTGATCATTGAGCAATGGCCCTCCTTCTCCCATCCAATTTTCTCAGGACCAGACCTGCTTGCTTCAGTACCAGAACAGTATCATGTGCCTGTGGCTCACTGAGTGAAAGGTGTTCTGTTTGCAACATGGTTGTGATCTGCTTTCTTTTGCATGAGGTCTAGTCGTTCATTCCCCCACTACCACCACAAAGCCTATATATGTTCATGCTAAATACTGTTATATGGTGGATAGGTAGGTAGGTAGATGATGAGAGATAGATAGATAGATGATAGAGAGATAGAGAGACAGAGAGATAGATGATAGAGAGATAGATAGATGATAGATAGATGATGATAGATGATAGATAGATAGATAGATAGATAGATAGATAGATAGATAGATAGATAGATGATAGATGATAGATAGATGATAAATAGAAAATGCAAGCATTGTTTTCTTTTCTTGTTTGCTCCAGCTGGAAACAGAAATTCAGCAAGTTTCAGAAGCCTACAATAACCTGGAAAAGTCTTCCACAAAGCGGGAGACTCTGGAGAAGACCATGAGGAACAAGCTGGAAGGAGAAATACGAAGGCTGCATGACTTCAATAGAGACCTCAGAGGTAAATTTCTGTTTATACATGAGTTTAAAGCAGGCTTCCCTGGGTTTGGAGTTGCTGGGCTCTAGCTCCCATCAGCCCCTGCCAGCAAAGCCTATAGTCAAGGATGATAGGAGTTGCAGTCCAGGAACACATTATACCAATGTCGTTTTCTTCCAGGTACAGGTGTTCCAGTTAGAGCCATGGCTACTGTGCAGGCTAATAAAAATCACCTTGGCCACTAAGACTACCAGCATTTCTCTAAACATATGGTTCCAGGAGTGCACACACAGGCATGAAAAAGACATTTAAAATACTCTACGTGTTAGCACTGATAGCTGATGACTGACTAATGTATGTAATTAAGATTAGTACCATGATAGAAAGATTTTTGATTCTAATACTACACTATTTATTTCCCTTGTAAATAATTTTTATTGGCTTACAAGTCTTAGCACGCCTCCCCTTACAACAGCTCTGTGTAGTAACTTGGACTAGGAAAACATTGGTATCCTGCTTGCCTGTGAAACTTGCTGTATGGCAACTCTGAGGTCTCTGAGAACTCAGTCATTCATTCATTTTATATCCCACCTTCTTTCCCCCACAAGGAGCTCAAGGTGCTATACACGGTTCTTCTCTGGCTCATTTAATCCACACGACAACCCTGTGAGGTTGGTTAGATTGAGAGGCAATGACTAGCCCAAAGTCACCCAGTGAGCTTCATGGTTGAGCGGGGATTTGAACCCCAGTCTCCTAGGTCCTAGTCGGACACTCTAACCCCTACTCCACACAGGCACTCTGTTCTGCTGAGAGCATGTGACAAACTCCAGGTTGTCTGATAGGCTTCACAGCTCAAGGGAGATTTCTACCCAAGTGCAGCATTCTCTGTCTTCTGACTCTGTTGTAGCGACACAGATGTTGAATTGTGCCATTGTGGCAGTTTGCCATACCTAAAAGCTCTCTAGCCTACTTTGAGAAATTCTATGCTTACAACTTTTATTTATTTATACCTTTTTCTAACTACACCCTTCAGCTGGAAAAGAAGTCTTGGAGGGTGATTTACAGATCAGTTTTTGAAAGAAAGAAAGAAAGAAAGAAAGAAAGAAAGAAAGAAAGAAAGAAAGAAAGACTGTCACTGTCCTCAGGCACACCATCTAAAAGACACAGCAGAAAAGGCAAATGAGTGGGGAAGGAGGAGAAAATAAGCAAACTCAGATACCAGATACCAGAAGAGATCTTCTAATGAGCAGCTGAGATATTAGCCCTTCCTCCCCCTTGAACTGTTTATAACAGCTGGTTTCTCAGGTGCTCCAGTAAAGTGACCCTGCACTTCTCCTCCTCTCCCACTGCCCCCTCACCACCCCTGGTTGCCTGGCAGAGTCTTCTTAAAATACTGTTGCACTTATTTTTTCAGCCATGAGAACTAGCCTCCATTGTGGCCAGTTGCCATTGATAGCTTTACCACCTGTGAATTTATCCAGTCATCTTTTATTGCTATCCACCTCACTGCAACTTGGTATCAGCTCCTGCCGGAGCACCAGATTGATTGAGGAAGCTTGGTGTTAGAAAAACGTACAGTATGCTAGCTGCAATTAGCTGTGCGGATTCTGTAAAATGTATTTATCCTCTCCTCTGCAGAGCGTATGGAAACAGCCAACAAGCAGCTTGCGGAGAAGGAAGGCTCTGAGGATAACAAGAAAACCATCTGCCAGCTCTTTGCACAAAGTGAGTCTGAATTTCTCCTTTAATATGGTAGAGGCCTGTTGCAAAGGTGGGGTTGAGGTGACAGCTGTTCAGAAATCACTAGGGCAAGCAGTGGGTAGGCTTGGGAATGGCTCAGCATTGCATAAGATGGTGAGATGCTGGGGGTGTCTTAAAAAAAAATTAGGCGCAATCAGTGCTGCTCATAGTGATGAGCAGTTTCTCTTTCCCACCCTTTACTCACTACAGGTCTTGACTTCCGCACGTTCACACTTCCCCTGAACAGTTATTTGTCTACCCCTTGGTTCTACCCCACCTTACCTTTCCTAAATTGCACTGGATATAGTTCTATAGTGCAGAACAAAGTGAGAGATTATAGGACTCTCCCAGCTCTTCCTGGGGATGCCAGCAGGGATTTCTTTTCTGGCTCATTGAACTGATGGTGCAGGCCCAGCAAAGGGAGCAATTTACTAAGCTTTTCCTACATGAGCAAACCCATTTCTTTGCTGCAAAGAAGCATTAAAATTGAGCTACAAGCCACAGACAAGCACACACAAGCTGCTTTCTCCCGAGGTAGAACACTGGTCCATCTAGCTCAGTATTGTCAACACTGGCTGATAGTGGCCCTCCAGACTTCCAGACATGGAGCATTCCCAGACCTTGCAGGAGATGCTGAGGACTGAATCACGCTCAGAGCAGATGCTCTACCACTGAGCTATACTGTTAACGCCCAGAGGTTTGCTTGCACTGGAAGACAAGTGGAGCACTCCACTTGTCTTCCTCTAGGCACTTCTGAAGTGCAGGGTTTTTGAGACTGAATATAAATCCAGCATGTAGCCACTTGGGTGAAACTAGGCCAATCCAGACAAGAGAGCAGGATGGATGGTGGTGCTGGTGTTTCCTCTGAGGAAGAACTATACTATGCCGCTGCTTTGCTAGTGTGTGCCGAGTTAGCCTTGTGTTACAAACCCTGCCTGGAGGAGCAGATGGATTATAGTAAAAACCAATGTTACAAGTTCTTACAACATTTCCGCTGGGCTGAAATGTCTCGGGACTTAAGCAAGGTAAATGCTGATTTACTGTCCTCAGAGCTCCACCCAGTAGACAGCACTTAACTGTGTTGCCGTGGCATTAAAATTAAAATTGCAATTTAAAAAAATGCTTATTTCATGATAGGATTACTAGAATGTGGTCGATGTGGGGCTTGATCCAAAAGCTGCAGTTAGTTCAGAATGCTGTGGCACAATTGGTGATGGGAGTGAGACCCTGTCAGCATATAAACCCTCTGCTTCAGAGACCTCCACTGGTTACTGATTAACAACTCAGACCAGTTGACCTACAAGATCACCTTACCCCATAAATGTCCACTCAGCCACTTTGATCAACAGAACAGGCATTGTCAAAGGTACCACTTAAATCACATTCCACATTTGTGAGAAATAGCACCCAGCCAGGACTTTGCTACACTCTTTTTGGTACCTACTCAAAGCGTTTTTGTGTAGGCAAGCCTACCCAGGAATGCAGAAAGTTGATCTGTTCTTTAGTCTGGTTTTTAGCATACAGTCGTACCTTGGCTCCCTAACGCTTTGGGAGTCAAACGTTCTGGCTCCTGAATAATCAAAAACCAGAAGTGAGTGTCCTGGTTTTCAAACATTATTTTAGAAGCTGAACATCCGACGGGGCTTCCACAGCTTCTGATTGGCTGCAGGATCTTCCTGCAGCCAATCAGAAGCCACACTTTAGAAATCAAACATTTCGTATGTTGAACGGACTTCCGGAGCGGATTCTGTTCGACTTCCAAGGTATGACTGTATTGTTGATTTCAATTATTTTTGAAAGTTTTAAATTATTGGGCTGTTTAATGTTTTGGGGATTTTTTTGCTCAGTAGCGTCCACATTACTGTCTACATTTACTGGTAGCAACTTTCCAGGATTTTAGACAAGATTCCAGCCCTTCTGGAGTTTCTGGGGCTTGAACCCAGGACCTTGTGCTTGCAAAGCAAGTGCAGTGCCACTGAGCTATGGTTCTTCCCTGGCCAGTGGCTGCTAGGCTGCCTCTGAGCCCAGCCATGATGACGATCACTGAATGCTAGCTGCAAGGGAGTAACTACCAGGGGACGGGGGACTTTTTCTTTCATGGCTCTCTTTGTGGACTTTCTGGAAGCATCTGACTGGCCATTGTAGGTAGATCCAGGACCTGTTGGGATAAGAATCTAGGAAGACTCCTGCTGGAGCAGACCCAAAGCTTGTCTTGCACCAACATTCATCTTCCTCTGGTTTGCTCCTGAAACATAATTGGTTTGAAAGGGGAAAATGCTGCAGATACTCCTTAACGCCAGCACCTGCAATCTTTTTAATTACTGATGGATATTCCAGTGCTAACTGAATGAGATGCACCATCCCATTCCCCATCGGTAGGGTGTGAAAATACTTCACATCTATAGGTTCACTTTTATAACATTTATAAACAGAGCCCTACCACTAAAATCTCAATGTGAATACAGTGTAAAATTCTCAATGTGAATACAGTGTAAAATTCTGTGTGTGGTTATCTTCTGCTTCCATTCTCTCCACACCTGCAAGACTGGCACTGCTTAGCCTGTCTGCTGGCTGGATAAAATCTGGTTCTTTTAACAAAATGACTTGGTGTAATTCCTTAGGCATGGGATGATGCTGCAGCTTGGAATGTGCTTTCTCCTGTGTTGTCAGGGCTGGATGTATTTTATTCAAGAGGTGTGTATTCTGCAGCTGAGTCAGTGTTGGCATCCAACTGGTAGAATGCTGAGAACCACAGCAGCTCCACAAAAGCAGCACCCTTGGTGAATTCATTCTTCATTTCTGCCGCACCACCTCATGCCTTAGGCATGCCTGGATTATCCTGTTTGTTTTGTTTTGCTTTTTAACATAGTAACCCGTAAAATGGGTCTTGTTTGGACACCTCACTGCAGAGGTTCCAGATAGTTCATTCTTCGTAGAACACTTCTTGTTGGATTAAAGCAAGCAGCGAATCCATTCCATTTGGGATTCATCATGTGTGTGTGTGTGTGTGTGTGTGTGTGTGCGCGCGCGCGCGCTTGCTTCAGCCAAATCAAAGTCCTTAGTTGAAGTCCAATTTACACAATTCCCTTGTGTGGGGGTAGACTCACTTCTCTCCCTCCAATTACCCAACCCAAATCACTCTAGGCATATTGTGTGGAAGTCATCCAAATCCTTAATCACTAACACAAAATGTTGTTTTTGCACACCAGAATTGACTTTCCTTAATACGAACAAGGAATTGCACAGTTAGGATCTATGTTTGCATGGGTGTTGTCTGTCTCATTTGTAGCAAACTCCACTGTGTAGTTCATGTAGCTAAGGAATGGGGCAAAGGCTGGACTTGACCAAAGCAGTCAGATAATCTTCCTGGAAATTAGGTGTGTGAAATCACTCCTGCTAGCTGTATATTGTCCTTTTCTGTACACGGTGAGGCACTGAATTCGACATCTGCTGCAAGACCTAGGATTTTTGAGGCTGTTAATATATAAAATACAGGTGGACAAACATCAGGCTTGCAGAATCGTAATTTGTTTTTTTACTAGAACTTGAGATCCACCAGTGTCACGGCCTGTCACATGGTTGTAGTAGGGATAAAAGTGTCAGGGGGGAACCATGCCAACTGCCTTGCACTCCTTGGAGGAAAGGTAGAATGAAGAAGGGTGATACGCATTTTAAAAGAAACAGAGATTTTAAATGGATTTCCCAGAAGACGACTCAATCTTTCTCCTTGCCCTTCTGCCCATTTTCTTAAAAAGTTTTCCTTCCACTCCCCTTTTATTCGGACAGACAAAGAAACCCAGAGGGAGAAGGAGAAGCTAGAGATCGAGCTGGCTGGAGTTCGCTCTGCTAATGAGGAACAGAGGAGGCACATTGAAATTCGCGACCAGGCTTTGAACAATGCTCAGGCCAAAGTGGTGAAACTGGAAGAAGAGGTAAGGCCCCATTCCCCAGCGCAGAGGAGCTGCTGGAGGTTCTCGTCACATGTTCAGTCTGTTTCTTGTTTCACACTTTTGTGTTTGCATTCTGTCATCTACATTCACTTTTAACGGAAAAGCAAAGAAAGCCATATCAAGTTGCGCAGTAGCATAAATGATTCTTATTAATCCATACAAATTATCCAGATGCCCATCATATAATGTCCTGGGGGCAGCACAAAAGCTTTTTTCATCTATCTCAAGAGAGTCATGAAAGAATATAGTTAAAGCTGTATTTCTCAGTTTAGTCATATCTGCAAAGGTCCCTTGGAGAGTTTAGAAAGTTTGGAAATTGGTCTTAAAAACAAAACATTTTGAAAAGGAAAACCTCCACTGCTTTCATCTCAAATAAGTGAGATCCCAACCAGCATTTGTGCTTAAAGCTCTTGTGAAGGGCCAGGTTGGTGCTTTTCATTCCTCTTGCAAATTAATGTGGATGCTTTTCCATGAATGAGCATCAGTTAAACTTATAGGATCTGCACTGCTAAAAGGCAGTAAGAATGGAATGTCCTTAAGGATGCCAGTTTGACTGCCGGACCCCCTTTCTTCAAACACTCACTGAGCATTATTAAGGAAACTAAAATCCCTAAAAGACTTGCCCTTTTCTTTTTTACTGTAATTTTCCAAAACACCATTGTGTGAAGGGTGTTTGAGTTCTGAAAAGGAGAACTAGGCCTATGATTTTAGCACCGACTGGTTATCAAGCTGTTATAGGTGGTTTGGCCAGATCCTTTGTGTGCTTAGTCCACATTTCTGAGCCCGTAATTGTAAATAATTTCCAATCTAGCCTTACAAAAGAGGAAGGATTTTGCCAAGTGGTGTTCTTGGCACATGTAGATAATTGGTGTGTGTGTGTGTGTGTGTGTGTGTGTGTTGTGCACGCTGCTTCTTCGCTTTTCTTGCTCCCTTGACTCTCCTCTGCTTGCTTAACCTTTTCCAGACTCCTTTTTAAGAGGATGATTGGGCATAGTATTGTGAAGGCTGTTTTTATGCAAGTCCAGTTGGGCCTCTGAGCTCGCTTTTGGAAATAAAGTAGGGTGGGGTGGCTTCATTCCTGATGCCCAGATAACAAAATTGGACGGTGGCATGCTTATTCTTCAGTGCGTCTGAGACAGCGGGATTTCAGTCTTTGCGCAGCTGGGTATGTGGGGAATAAAATGGGGAACTGTGCTCTCCTCCTTTCTCTGTTTTTTTCTTTCCATGCTTCCAAAAGTAGCAATGGGGGGCGGGGGGCTTGTAGATGGGGTGGGCCACATGAGCTCATTGTGCAAGTGGGGGAACTGGGCTGGCCAGGGACTGGTGGCTGTTGTGGTCCAGGGTATCTTGGGGTCACCAGGGTGACCAAGGCTGTAAAAGAAAAGAAAGAAACCCTCATGCAATGGAATGCTGGTGCTATTGTGTTTTCAGTACAAATGTTGGAGGATGGTCGCAGCTGCTAGATTATCTGATTTCAGAGCAGCTGCATTAAAAACGTAAAAACCTGCTGGATCAGACCCGTGGCCCACCTAGTACAGCATCCTGTTCTCCTAAACAGTTGCCTGCGGGAAACCAGCACGCAGGATTCAGGCACAAGACCACTCCCTACTCCTGCAGTTTCCAGCAACTCAGAAGCATTCCAGATACTCAGAAGCATTGCTGCCTCCAGCTGTAGAGGCAGAGCACAGCCATTGTTGCTGGTAGCCCTCTCCTCCTTCATGAATTTGCCCTAATCCCCTTTTAAAGCTTCCTTGGTTGTCTTCCCATCTCCTTTGAAGAGAGGGGTTGTTTTCTGTGTCTGCGCCCTGGAAGTCTTCTCTCACCCAGATTTTAATAGGAGCTGGAGAAGGATTCATCTCTGTTACGAGACAAACATTGCCAAGCGTCTTGGGACTCATTCCCAAACTGTGGCAGCTCTAGAGTTATGGCTGAATGATTGCTTGGAATTTTTGACCCGCTGGGAAGACATCTTATGCTTTGGGTCACTATGCAGAATATGCACCAAAAGAATTTTTGAAAATAAGGGAAGGTTCCTTGATCAGCATCAACAGGGATAATATGGCCATGGTTTTCTAATTTGCTTTCTTTCCGCCAAATAACTATTGTGGTGATCAAATCCAAGCTGCTAATAGTATTTGTTTCAAAGTATACTTTTCAAATTTTGGTTTTCTCCGATAGTCTGCAGTTGTAGCCAAGCTTTCCCCTTTCTTATATGGGAAGATATGAATTCCGTTTCTTTCATCAAATTCTTTAAAATAAAAAAGATTTTTATTAAAGTTTTTCACAATACAATAAGATAGCCGCTACTATAACTACAAGCAGTATTTCTTTTAAGTCAAAGCCTCTCAGAATCATTCTTTTCTTTTCCCCCACCAAAGTCCAAGTTGGGTTCCCAGATTATTATTATTGGTAAATATCAACCAAGCTTTTTCTTTAATATTAACTTTACCTCCATTAATTCCCACCACCAGTTTCCCCTTTGTTCTTAGAGACAGGAAGTGGCTGTTACAAGTTTTCTGATTGTAAATTTTAATCAGCAGAGAAATCTCTGTAATTTGCATTTTTCTTGTCCCAGAAGTATTTAAGAAAGAGAGGATGCGGGTTTTCTTACCCACAGAGGGTTGTTACGTGGCGTTTGGGCACAGTGTCAGCTCCTCAGCTTGCTGTCTCATTCTGTCACCCATCCAAGCCCCCAGGTGCAGGAAGCAGAGAACAGCCTTGATCAAAGCATTTGAGGTTTCTCCTATTTGATCACTCTTATCTCCCAAAATGATTTAATAGTCAGACCATCTGTCTTACTATCATCAATCACCACATAGTTATCTTCTGTCAGCGGAACTGATAGAGAAGGTCAGTCCGCTATTCCTTCTCTCGGAAGTGCTGGGTGTGGGGGGGATATCACCAGATCAAATTCCAGTTTCTGTGAAGGCTTTGGGGGTTTTTTGTGGGGTTTTTTGCAGTGTGTGTGTGTGTGATTATTTTACTCCCCGCCTCAAGTGCAATATGGTTGATGTGCTCACCCAAGAATATTCATTTTACTCATCTTTTCCACCATTTATTGCATTTCTATCCCAACGTTCCCTCCAAGGAGCTCAAGGTGGCATACATGGCTCTCCCCCATTTAATCTACCCCATTTAATCTGCACAACAACCTTGTGAGGTAGGTTAGGCTGAAAGGCAGTGATTTGCCCCAAGGTCACCCAGTGAGCTTCATAGCTAATTGTGGGGAACTGAACCCTGGATTCCCAGGTCTTAGTGCAACACTCTATGACTAGGACACCATAGATATAACATGTCTGTCTATAGTCTGTGTGTGTGTTTCAAGGGTCCATGCATATGCAGTGCCACAGAAATTGCTGGGTTGTTTTTAAACTGTTTAAAAAAAACAAAAACGCTCCATTTTGGTCTGTGAGTAATTTTCCAGAGGTGCTCTTTGAGGGTTATAACTTATTTTAAAATAAGCAAACAGAAAGTGGGAAAGAACTGACCAGATGGGTTTGGCTTGAGTTGCTGTTGAGGCACGGTGGCGCTTCGTGACGTCTGGTTCTCAAAGGTTCTGTGCAACAACTCAGCAATGCTCAAAACCCTCCCATTCAGAATACAGGTTTATTCTCTAATCAAAAGATAAGGAAGTACATACGTACAAGAGAAGGAACATATAAGAGAAATAAGAGTGTATGGAGAATAGCACTTGCAGAGAAAATAACTCAAGATGTAGCATTATTGAAGGGGGAAAAGAAACCGGAAACTTTCTATGCCAGTTGGTGGCTATTCATTACGTATGTATCCAGAATGTGTTGGCTGCATCAGTACAGATCTGACTTCCTGATTGCTTTCCCTTTGTTAAAGTTATGTTTGTGCGTGTCCTTTCTCCTTCAGGTTTCGGAAACTATAATGATTTGATGCATAAGATCCCTGTTGTAGAAATGGCAAAAATAGATACTAAACAAACACGAGTGATGATCATGCAATAGAATATAAAGGAGGCAGTGGGAGACTTTAGCGTTTTTTCTTTGTATGGATATTATTGTGTCCATTTAATGTATATTAATGCAAAATCAATAAAAAGATTTGGAATGAGGAGAGAGAAGTAATGTTGGACCAAAGCACTTGGCTGATGAAATACTTTTCAGCCATAGCAGGCATCTCCTTGAAGCAAAATTATTTCTGCTCTTGGAGAGGCCTGTGATGTTTAGCTGGCTCGAATCAGTTACTGTAGTTGGTTTAAGAAGGGTTTGATCAATTAAAAGTGTGTCTGCAATGAACATCAGTTTACAAAAAAGATAAAACAATTAAATTAGCAATAGAAAAAATCACCACCCATAATTTAGAATTTTCAGAAAGTTAAAATAACAATAGACCAAGAACAGATTAAAACTTGTCAAGTTTTAATGTCAAGTTTCTAAGCAGTTGGGTAGGCCTATCTGAATAATAATGTTTAGCACGTGCCAAAAAGCACCGTGAAGGCGCCTGCCTGATGTCAATAGGCAGGGAGTTCCAAAGTGCAGGTGCTGCCATACTAAATTGTTTGAATTGTTGTCATCTACTCTGGGACCTCTTGGTGGTGGTGGTGATCATCATCATCATTATTAATGATGTTTTGGACTGCAATTCTCATCAGCCCCAGATAGGATAGCTGTGTTCCCATCACCAACCCCACCAACATAGGACTGTCCTGGCTGGGGATGATGGGAACTGTAGTCCAAACCACCTCGCAAACTCTCCAGCTGGTCAGTGGGTGTGAGAACAGAGTCCTGGGCCTTTGACCTGACCCAGCTGGCTCTTCTTATGTTCTTACAATGTCCTGCATGCAGTGCCTTACCACTGCACTACAGCCCTTCCTCTGATTTGGGGAGACAGCAAAAGGGTGGTTGTTGCCCTCCCCCTGCTGTGCTTTTGGGATGACTGGGGGGGGGAATCTGGGTTGCTGCTCTTGACGAAGGCTTGCTGGAGCTTGCAGGTGCTGTGATGCTTCTGGATGCTGAAGGAGCTTCACCACCTACACTCCCCCCACCCTTTTTTTCTTTTAGTTGAAGAAGAAGCAGGTTTATGTTGAGAAGGTGGAGAAAATGCAGCAGGCCTTGGTTCAGCTGCAGGCAGCCTGCGAGAAGCGCGAACAGCTGGAACACCGACTGCGGACACGGCTGGAGAGGGAACTCGAATCCCTCCGGATGCAGCAGGTAAGAGGATCTTAAGCAGAACTCCACCTTCCAACTGAGTATTGAAAGTGTTGGTGCTGCCCTTTAAAGCCCTAAACGGCCTTGGCCCAGTAAACCTGAAGGAGCGTCTCCACCTCCATCGTTCAGCCCAGACACCAGCTCCGAGGGCCTTCTGGCAGTTCCCTCACTGCGAGAAGCAAAGTTACAGGGAACCAGGCAGAGGGCCTTCTTGGTAGTGGCGCCCGCCCTGTGGAAGCCCCCCCCAATCAGATGTCAAGGAAATAAACAACTATCTGACTTTCAGAGCACATCTGAAGGCAGCCCTGTTTAGGGAAGTTTTTAATGTTTGATCTTTTATCATGTTTTTAATATTCTGCTGGGAGCCACCTAGAGTGGCTAGGGCAACCCAGCCAAATGGGCAGGGTATAAATAATAGGAGGAGGAGGAGGAGCTGGGCTTCTGGTTTTTAAAAAGCCCTAGTGAAACTTATTTAACCGACTGCTTTTTTGAAAGGAGGTGAACACACACAGGAACCTAACCCTAACACCACGTCAGCTGCTTCGTCCCTCTAGCTCAGTATTGTTTACACTGACTGGCAGCAGCTCTTCAGCATTTCAGGCAGGGAATCTTTCCCAGCCCTACCTGGAAATGGGATTGAACCCAGGACCTTCTGCATGTGGAGCAAACACTGTGCCACTGGCCCTAGTTAGCGACTCAAGAGTGAGCATTTGTTTTCTGTTAGGAGACACATCACAGGCGCCTTTCCTTCTGCTGCTTCCTGCACTGTTCATAAAGTGCCTCTGTTATGTAATGAATTTAGTGTGTGTCAAAGCAGAGCTTCCAGCTGAACAGTTGTCAGGTTGTCCCCCCCACTGCGTGGTTTTCAGCCCATGGTGAGATGTGTGCATTTTTTCTTACTAGGGGATAAAAACTGTTCTGTCCAAGTGACCCACAGAACGGCTTGGTCCCACAACTGATAATTAGCACACTTCAAACTTGCCAAGCAATCCAACATTTGGCTGACTTAGGTGAATCAGACTTTATTCTCCAGGAAGCCACAGAGTTAGCAAGTGTAATAATAATGTGATCAGTGGGACAGTTGCTCAGTGTCCCTGGCGTAGGCAAATGTGTGACACACCTATGATTTTAAATAACCTTTACTTTCAATAATGACGGAGCTTGCAGGTGGAGAACACTTTTATATTTGCATTTCTTCAATACTTCTAAATGGTATATTTGTATGAATCAATGCCTTATTATCCCTTCTGGAGCTGCACTGTACAGGCTATGATGTCCCATGGTTTTTCTTTATCTTTATTTATACCCCACCTTTTCCCCAGACTGGAAAAGCCAGCTTACATGAATTAAAACAACTCTGATAACATGCAGAAGGCTAAAAACATGAAAGATGATAGTTTAAAAATAATTAAACTGTAATAGAATTAAAGCAATATAAAGACAGGTCTATTGGTAAAGACAGCACAGTCAGTCCCCAAGAGACTGTCAGAATAAAACAGTTTTCACCTGCCAGTGGAAAGACAACAAGGAGGGAGCCAGTCTGCCTTCTCTAGGGAGGGAGTTCCAGAGTCTGGGAGTAGCCACCAATAAGGCCCTCTAGGTTTACATTTTCAGTTCATTGTATTTTCCCCCTTTATATTATGTTTGCACTTTTCAACGGATATTTATCCTGAAACAAAAAAATAATAATGTGTTGAGTGGGGATTTCTGATACGGCAGCAGCCTTCGTTCTAAGCAGCTTATTGGCTTGTTTTATCATCAGCGCCAGGGGACTTCTCAGCCGACCAGTGTCTCTGAATACAACGCCACAGCACTTATGGAGCTCCTGCGGGAAAAGGAGGAGCGGATTCTTGCCCTGGAAGCAGACATGACAAAGTGGGAACAGAAGTACCTGGAAGAAAGCGTCATGAGGCAATTTGCATTGGATGCCGCAGCTACAGTTGCTGCCCAGAGGTAGGAAGCAGAGTTGATAGTACAGAAACCGGGGGAGAGGAAATAGTATCTATAGAGCCCACGTCCCCACAGTGTTTTTATGTATTCATTTCATTTCATTCATGGAGTATGGCTCCGTAGACTGATGTGCAAGTAAGGCGCGTCTGTTTCAAGAGCCGAAGCATATTCTGATGGAAGCCACTGTGGTCACCTGAGCCTCAGACGACGGCAAAGGATGCAGAAGCTGCGTACCCACTCCTTTAGAGAAAGTGTTGTTTTCCTCTGCTTTTAAAAATGTTTTTAATTTTTTTTGCCCCTTTCTTATTTACTTTAATTCGCTGTTATACTCTTAGTAAAACATATTTAAAAAGAAAAAGACAAAAAGAGCGGTCAACCTCCAGGATCTCATTATTATGAACCTGGCTTCTAATAAAAGTTTGTGTGCTTTTTCATACAACTACAAGGGCTAGAATTTCTAAATTTCTCAATAAAACTCAATCCTTCAGCCACCCAAACCTTGCGCTGTGTGGCAACATGGGATTCTTGCGATACAGGAGTTTGGCTAGCATTTGGATGAGGTTCAGCTCCGCTGGTTACATGCAGGAGCTCCGCTGCAATGGGTTCTGTTGGGTAGGGATCCTGCTAACACGCTGCCCAGCTACTAGTCCTGCTTGTTTTTCAGGGACACCACTGTCATCAGCCACTCGCCCAATGCCAGTTATGACACCTCTCTTGAAGCCCGCATCCAGAAGGAAGAGGAGGAGATCCTGATGGCTAACAGGAGATGCCTAGACATGGAGGGAAGGTAAACTGCAGCTTGAACATTTTTCTTGTGCTCTTCTTTCGTATCGGTTTTTAAATACATAATTAATTAGGATAGGAAACGTTTCTTCTCTTCACACGCACACACACATACACACACACTTACTTTTTCCTGGAGTCAAAATTGATATGCTGCACAATCCATAGGACCGTTTTTGTGGGAATGATACTTAACACAAGCAGGGTTAGTAGTACAACACCAGAGGAAGAGATTCTGGCTAGCCAGGTGGGTCCTCCACTCCCAGGATTGGATAACTTGGTCCATGGAAGAGGAGCATAACTTCTCTGACGTGTCCACACATACCCAACTCCCCTCCCTCCCATAAAATTTCTATACTAAATTGTAAAAACAAATAAATCTCAAACCAATTTACAAAAAGAACAAAAAACAATAAGATTGTCAGTTAAAAACAGCTGTTCAAAACATAAAAAACACAATTAAAATCACATTTCAGTATTCTACATATCTGGATAGGCTTGCCTAAACAAAAATGTACCTGCCTGATGTCAAGAGGCAGGGAGTTCCAAAGTGTAAGTTCTTACAAATGTGGAACAAGTGTTATGTTGCAACTATAACAGTGTAAAAGCTAGATATTTCTTGGTTCCTCCTTCCATGCAAACATCTTTTGTGTCCAGCATCAAACTGAATTGCTTTGAACCATGTCTGAACACTGCCTGGCTAGTCTCCTCTTGGAATGTGATATTTTTTGTATTAAAAAATGCTTCATTTTCAAGAACCTTTATAGTTTCTCTGGCTCTTCTTTCTCTTGTCCCGATTAGAAACCCCACTGAGCTTCAGACATATCTTGCCAATTATATTTATACCAGCGTTAATTAAATTCAGCCACCCTCACATTATGCATAAATTTGTAACACGTGAAATTTAAGTGTTTGTTGATGAATGCTTATATTAATTTAAAATGATAATCTGATTATTCCTGTTCCTATTTGTTCTCTCATCTATTTATTTATCTCTTATCTTTTTGGCTTATTAATAATCAGTTCTTTAACATACAATTGTTGTTTTAATATTCCTTTTTCCTAGGAATTAAGTGGTTGGTTATTGTTTTTTTACGATTTTCATACACATATTAATAAACTGATATTTTGTAGTTATTTATCTCTGTGGATGAATAAAGGACATTTAGAGTAGTTAACATACCATTTCAGGATCAAGAACGTTCATGTTATTTGGAAGGAGGATTGAATTTCTGTTTCCACATTTGTTAGATTTTTCTTGTTTGTAGTGATATAATTGTACCTTTTATGTTTACAAAACAATAAAAATTATTTAAAGAAAAGTCTTGCCAACCTGGTGCCCTCCTGATGGTTTCTTGGACCTCAAGTCCCATCACCACCAGGCTTGGTGGAGACTGTCCTGCACAAATTATCTGGGGTCTTCTTGAGTGTAGCAGGACATCCCTCAGCTCCTTTGCGAGATCCCATGGGCTGTCAAGCATCCTATTGACAGACCCATGAACTCTGCCCAGTTTTCTTAATATTTGGGAAGAGGGATACAGTCAGAAAAAGCCCCAGGATCACTGATATATTGATGACTGTCCTTTTGCCCTGTCCTAGGATCAAGACCCTCCATGCTCAAATCATTGAGAAGGATGCCATGATTAAGGTGCTCCAGCAGCGGTCCAGGAAAGAGGCCAGCAAGACTGACCAGCTGTCTTCCATGAGGCCAGCGAAATCCCTGATGTCCATCTCCAACACTGGCTCAGGCTTGCTCTCCCATTCGTCAACACTGAGCAGCACACCCATTCTGGAAGATAAGAGGGAGGACAAGAGCTGGAAGGGCAGCTTAGGTGATTTGCACATGTGTTTGTGTGTGTGTGTGTGTTTTTACAAATCATGAACGGGCTCTGAGCAGTCCAGTTGACCAGAGATCAAATCCTGCCTTGCAGGACCGGCCCTGTCCTTAGGTAGAATTTAATTTTGACATCGGGGGCATGTATTTTTAGAAATTGTCCCCATGGAAGTGACGGAGAGTCAACTCAAACTGCCGTCTTGATATGACGATGTCACCACCACCACCCCTTGATTTATCGTTGTATTTGAACAATCACTGGAATTTTCTCTCTCTGGTGCCAGTATGTTGACACCAGGCTCAAATACTACACACCTGCGGCAGGGGGTGGGGTGGACACATCTTCCTGCTTTGGGCAGTGAGGAGCATGACTGCCATCAGTGAAACACATACACAGCAGCACAAACAAACACATCTTTTCCCACTCTGTGCCATTATAATCACTTGCCTAAGGTTGTACTGTTGGAAGTGTGTGTTTGTGTTGTGACCCTCTGGAATGCATACTTTAGTAAGGCTCTTGGCTCTTTTTTATTATTAAAAAACTCTACATTGTCTTAACAGACTGGGTGCTGTGGGATGCTCCCAAGGAGCAGATATAAGACGAAGCTGGCATCATGCATCTGGTGTGCAACTGCCTTGTCCTTTTTCTCCCCTTCAGGTGTTCTGCTGGGAACAGAATGCCGCTCCGAATCCATTCCTTCCACTCCTTCGCCCATCCTCCCCTCCCCTCCGCTGCTGTTTGCGCACTCCAAGACCGGCAGCCGAGACTGTAGCACTCAGACGGACCGGGGAAGTGAGCAAAGCAAGGTCTCCGCCTCCTCTTCCTCCTCTGCTTTGCCTCCTGTGCAGGGGAGGCTCCCTGCTATGAATCTGACCTACACTTCAGACAAAGCAGGTAATGAGGACTTTCCCCTTGGCTGAGCCAGGACTTAAGAATAATCAACAACAATAATTTAAAAGCTTTCAATGAGTTAAAGTGACATTCTGCCCAGGGGCCATACTGGCTGGGGATGATGGGAGTTGCCGTCTAAAATACTTGGAGGGCACCAGGTTGGGGAACAGCTGATCTCACCAATTAAATCACTTAAAGATTGCGGCCCTAGATGGAAGGCATTTTGCTAGATGGAAACAAGAGCTGGAAAAGTATATAGTTGTCAATTGGCTACCACCCCTAGAAACTTAACGTCACCCACCCACCGCCACCTTTTAAACTTATTTCCTTCTCTTGCTTTATAGATACACCAGTTTTCCATTCCAACACTCTAGAAAGGAAGAACCCAGCTCAGAATTTGGGGCAGGACCTCAACGATGCGGAAATGGTGGAGTATCTCATCTGAAGAAATCGAAAGCTGAAGCAGACTAGCAAGAAGTGTCTCCGTACCCCTCCCCCTGTGAAACCTTTTTTTTTTTTAAGCAGATCATAGTAAAGGAAGCCAGAGCTTTCTGCTGTTTTGTATATATATATATTTTCTCAAAGGTATGGGCAGGTTAACTTATATTTTGTTCCAAAATTATTAAAGTAGTTCTGGGGTTTTTTTTTAAGAAGGTTCTTTCCCATACCTTCTTTCTGTTTCTTTAAAAATACTGGATCTGATAGCATCTGGATAAAAATTAAACCAAGCTCCTAAATGCACTAAATTTTTGAAATGTCAGTATTTTTTTTGTTATTAAAAACAACAACCCTGTGTTGTAAGGAAAGTAAGGACCTTATTTAGACGTTGACGTCCATAATGCCTTTTTACAAAGCCTGTTACTTCCCAGGTTTCTCTTTTTGCCAGATGATTACATGGTGCTGTCACTTTTGAGTGTCGTTTAAGTGTCCCAAATATTCAGGGGTCCCTGAGAACCATTGTTACGTATGGGACTCCAAAGGGTGGGACGACATTTTTTCACGTTCCTTGCCCTCCTTATGAGAGTGTCCGTTTTCACAGAACATTCCAGGACTAGAAAAAAATAAGTTGATTTCCACAATGTGCCTGCACTCGTTATTTTGTTTTTTTTTAAATACATCTTATTGTTCATATCATTCTGTCCTTTTGTTAGATGCCCCAAGATGTAAGGGGAGTTTTCTGTTTATTTCATATATGTCAAAGGGCTTCTTACCCTTGCAGCAGGATGAGGAATAATGCATCCCATTCAGGATTTCAGTGAACAAGCTGTGAGCCTTTTCTCCATGTTGTTCTGCTGTTCTGTTCCGTTTAAACTGCAGCCATTCAGCTGGCTTGACTGGAGTTACTGCTAAACTAAGCAAGTGGCAGGGTGTGTCACCAGACAGAAACTTGATTTTCTGTGTGGCCATGCTGGGGAATTTTCCCTAAACCATATTTTTGCCTCTTCCACATGCCTTCTTCGACTATAATCGATTCATTCCAGAAGTTAGCAGCTTTTTCTCTTAAAATAATTGTATATTTTGATGTAAGAATGTAGTGCCTTACTCAAGATAATAGTTACACTGGGGTCCTTTTCTAAATAAAGTAAAGCAACCCTGTAAGTTGAAAACCTTGCATTTTCCTGAAAACTCTCATTAATCTTCTGCACACATTTAGAAATTATAATAGATTCATACCTAAGGTTTCAGGTTTTCATACCCATACATATAGACACACACCTGTAACTTGCATTATTTTGTTTCTTGGGAGCTGACATAAATATTGCAGCACTAGGTAGCAAACTTTGCAGGGATCGATTTCAAACATGCATTTAAAAGTTTGAAAAATGAACGTGTTTCTGTTGTACATGTTTTTAATAACTGCCAGCACAGATCCCAAAGTTACGTATATTAGAGAAATGAGTAAAAGTGGAGGAGTAACTAGATTATGTCATTCAGAGGCAACAGAAGGAACCTTTGAACAAAATGTAAACTGTGAGTTAAGTTGTGTCCAAAGGGAAGTGCCTTCTGAGCGTGAGTCTAGTCTCCTTTTATCCAGGTGCCTCCCATCCTCTGGTAGGTGAGAGAGCATGTTGCATGCAACCTCTCCTTAGCATCTTCAGAAGATAAAGATCTAAAATGGCATAAAGAAAAGTAAAGAATCCATTGTGTCCTATGGTGCCTTTTGAACTTCAGGATAATTTCCCTTTAACAGGGACAAAGCAAGTGATCTTATACCATATAATTATTTGAGAGTGTACTCACCCCAGGCCAGCAGAAGGAGTTCTGGAGGGCTGCAGGTTCGTCCCTAAAATGTCGTGCCAGGCTGGGTAGGAGGAGATTTCTCTATGCACATTTGGGGACATCCTGAATCTGCTGATTTTTTATTTTTTGCAACTCTGCTGCTGCTGCAAATTAGTCTCATAGCAGCTGGGAGTTTTGTGCAAGAAAGTGAAGTTTTCCACTAGTCACCCACTCTTTTCATTATGCTAATTATGGGACTTTGGGAATCTGCCTGGTAATTAGGAAAATTTGTTTTCCTCGCATGTAACTTTTGGCCTGCTGTGGAATTAAGTTGGAAGTTGACACTACTTAGAAGAAGTTATGCTGCGCAACGCTCCTTCTTCTGCTTCTCCTTTCCTCTGTAAAATTTATTGGTACTGGACAAGAGGCAAGACAATATAAAACTGATAACCTTTGTGCTTGAACCAAACGTTAGACTAAGAGTTTTAACACAAACTCGGGTAATAGAAGCTATGCTGTAGATGAGTCTTCCCCAGCTGGGAACACCACATCTCCCATCTTCCCCAGCCTGCATGGCCAGTGGGGAGGGGGGACAGTAGTAGTTCTAAACATCTTGAAGGCACCAGCGGGGAAGACTATGTGTAGATTGTATAGAGGAAGGCTTTGTAGGTTTTCTTACACGCTGCAGGGGGGTTGGACTAGATGACCCTTAGGGTCACGTCCAATCCTAGGATTCTGAAAGCAAACCAACAGGTGTTGCGTTCCCACCAACCTGATCGCAACACTCCAGGGGTCTTTCCTGCAACTTCTTCCCACTGGGAACAGACCCATTAGACCAGATGATTCAGGAACTGGTTGTAGGGGTGATGCCAACATCTTGTGTCTCCAGTCTGTTGGAAGGAGGGAATTTGCAGAGCTCTGAACATGTTGAATGTCTTCGCTTGGTGCCTCTTTCTCTCTATATATATTTCTTCTCCTGCACCAGTATAGGAACGTGTGTATTATTATTTTTTATGTCTAGACTGTAAACCTCATGACAAAGTGTACCTGTACTGTATTTATGGAGAAAATAAAATTGTTTCTGCAAATATGTTTGCTTCAGACTGTTTTTATCGCTTCTACTTTTTCAGTATCCACATCAGTGTTTAGATGGTGGAAACACAGTGGTACCTCTGGTTACATACTTAATTCATTCCGGAGGTCCGCTCTTAACCTGAAACTGTTCTTAACCTGAAGCACCACTTTAGCTAATGGGGCCTCCTGCTGCTGCTGCACCACCTCCATGTGATTTCTGTTCTCATCCTAAAGCAAAGTTCTTAACCTGAGGTACTATTTCTGGGTTAGCAGAGTCTGAAGCATATGTAACCCGAGGTACCACTGCATTTGCAACAGGGGTGGCTATTTTGAGGCTCTCAGGATTTGAACAGAGGACTCCAACGGCCTAGTCCAGTGTTTCCCAAACTTTTTGGACTACAACTCCCATCATCCCTAACTAGCAGGACCAGGGGTCAGGGATGATGGCAATTGTAGTCCAAAAACCAGCTGGAGACCCAGGTTTAGGAAACACTGGCCTAGTCCAGTGTTCTAACCCAGGGGTAGGCGATGTGGTGGCCTGCAGATGTTTTGACTACACCTAACATATAGAGGGCCATTACTGCTCTCACCACTACATCACAGTGGTTCTTAACTCCAGTTGTTGGACTCCATCTCCCAGCCGCCATGCCCATTGGTCTGCCCAACAATATCTGCAAAGGTTAGTCACATACTGAGAAAGGTAACACAACAAACCTCAGTGTGTTCTCAGGGATCAATGCAAAAGGCCCACTCTGTCCCCCCCTCACCCCGCAAGCAGCCATTGTTGTTTGTTTTTCCTGACAGGGCTGTTGTGCCTTTAGTAGTGCCCTGCCCAAATTGTGTCAGATGACACTTTCGCCTCTTCATGCATTTTAGTGTCAGGAAATCTTGCCTTTTTAATTTCTAGCTATTTGCCTAAAATCAAAGGAGAAAAAACGTCGGCAAGCCTAACCACTGACACACAAAATTGGCAGTGGGGTGACCACCACCTCTCTTGTATTGATTAACGGTGGCCAACAGAGCAAGGCTCTTAACTGCTAGAAATTGGTTATGTCACCTTTTATGTTGCCTGGTTGATTCTTACCCACTTCGACTTCACTCACTCTTGTGGCCTGACTTGAGTAAGTTGGCAACCTGGATTGCCCAGGTTGCTGCTCACCCCATTCCAATAATCTCTCCCCTTTTGCTGGCAGAGCAAGTGGGGCTTAAGCTCTGCCCCACAGCAGGTCAGGATAAACAATTATTTATCTTTCGTTTCATATATTTTTTTACACCATTTGATTGTAAAGAGGGGGGGAGCCCTCAAAGCCGTTTACAATAAAAGATAAAATAATAAACTTTATCAACAGGAAGAACCAGTGCTATTTTTCTAGAAAAAGAGGTGCTGGAACTCGCCATGAACACCTCTCTCGTTCTCTTATAATGGCAATGGTGCCCACCTGATTTGAGCTCCGGCTTGGGGGGGGGACCCGGGGAATAATGAATAACAATGTAAGCCTTTCAAAAAGTTAAAATAATAATAGACTAAAAACAGATTAAAGCTTGTACCAACTTTCTAAGCTTGTCTAAAAATGTTTTTAGCAGGTGCCAAAAGGAATACAGTGAAGGCTCCTGCCTGATGTCAACAGGCAGGGAGTTCCAAAGTGTAGGGGCTGCCACACAAAAGGACGAGTTCCTACAAATGTGGAATGGGTGTTATGGTACCTGTAGTAGCTGTGGAAGTAGGCCAGAGCAAACTACAATTGTTAACCATTTAAATTATAAGAACAGAATTTCACTGACTTACAATTGCACCAACCTCCTGCCAGCTGATGTATGTGTTTCTCATTAAAGGTAAAGGGACCCCTGACCATTAGGTCCAGTCGTGGCCAACTCTGGGGTTGCAGTGCTCATCTCGCTTTATTGGCCGAGGGAGCCGGCATACAGCTTCTGGGTCATGTGGCCAGCATGACTAAGCCGCTTCTGGCAAACCAGACCAACGCACGGAAACGCCGTTTACCTTCCTGCCGGAGCAATACCTATTTATCTACTTGCACTTTGGCAAGCTTTCGAACTGCTAGGTTGGCAGGAGCAGGGACCGAGCAATGGGAGCTCACCCCGTCATGGGGATTCAAACCGCCAACCTTCTGATCGGCAAGACCTAGGCTCTGTGGTTTAACTCACAGCGCCACCCACGTCCCTCAGTGTTTGTCATTAGAGAATGTCTAAATCAGTTTTTCATTATGTGGTGCTTTCTAGATGATTTGACTACAACTTCCATCAATCACTACAGCTAGGTAGTCCAGGGTGATGGGAATTGTTCAAATCATCAGCGACACGCCAGGATTTCTGGAAGGCTGGTCTCAATAGTAGCTTTGTAGCGGGACACGGGTGGCGCTGTGGTCTAAACCACTGAGCTTCTTGGGCTTGCCAATCAGAAGGTAGGTAGTTCGAATCCCCGCGACGGTAGGTACCATTCCAGTGGGAAGGTAAACGGCTTAGTCATGCTGGCCACATGACCTGGAAAAACTGTCTGGACAAACGCCAGCTCCCTCGGCCTGTAAAGCGAGATGAGCGCCACAACCCCAGAGTCGGACTGGACTTAACTGTCAGAGGTCCTTTACCTTTACTACAGCACTTTACTTGTGCAAGAGGCACAATAGAAGGGCTAACTTCCTTTTCCTCATTGACATGGGCTAAACAGAGACCACACAGCTCGCCTTGCCTCTACATCTCTTTGGCTGCGGGGATGATCAATACACAAAGCATTTTTGCATTGGGATGGGGGCAAAATGAACATTCACACAGCAGAAATAGTTATAATGGAGCAGGCTGGCCCAATGTGTGGTTTACTGAAACAAGCTCTAACCCCCAAGATGACAAAACAAAAAAAATTCCTTCCAGTAGCACCTTAAAGACCAACTAAGTTAGTTCTTGGTGAGCTCCCGTCTTTCGGTCCCAGCTCCTGCCCACCTAGCAGTTCAAAAGCACCCCTAAGTGCAAGTAGATAAATAGGTACCGCTTTATAGCGGGAAGGTAAACGGTGTTTCCGTGTGCTTAACTGGTGCCGGCTCGCCAGAGCAGCTTCGTCATGCTGGTCACGTGACCCGGAAGCGTCTCTGGACAGCGCTGGCCCCTGGCCTCTTAAGTGAGATGGGCGCACAACCCTAGAGTCAGACACGACTGGCCCGTACGGGCAGGGGTACCTTTACCTTTACCTTCCCTCCAAAAACAGGCTGTCAAGATGTAGGGCAGGTGAGTCCCACACAGCTTTGTGGCTCACATATTGCCCTGGGCCAAAGCTCTGAAACAGAATCCCTTTTCCTCTCAAGGATGCAGCTGCTGCTTAGAGAAATGTTTGCTGACTCCTTTTTGGCAGAGATGAGAAACCTAAATCTAAATCTTTCCTGAAACATTCATGGGGCAACCAAAACATCCTGTGCGTTAGATTCCAGCTTGCAGCTAGAGGAAAGTCCACCACCACAATACTGTTGATAAGAAGAAACATAACTTTGGGGTGCAATAACATTCTGTACACATCTGTCATCGAAATTCTCTGCAATAAAACATGAGCCATGAACAGGGACGCGGACTTATAAAAAATATTGGGGGGGCCCGGGAAAGCTCATGAATAATAAATAAGCTCATGAATATGCAAATAAAGTGGCTCCGGCCCTAAATAGGGCAAGCCACGCCCCCCAGCCAGCCGATTGGCTGGCTGGGAGGTGTGGCCAGTCGGGATTCCCCTGTTCTCGCGGGGGCTGAAACCGCCAGGAGGAAGGAAATTCCCCCCGGCAGTGCCTTGGCAGTGGCGGTGGTGCTGCGAAGCAGCGAGGCAGGAGCCCCCACCCCCGGCGCCCGAGATTATTGGGGGGGCTGAGCCCCCCAAAAATTTTTTTTGAGGGGGCTCGAGCCCCCTCAAGCCCCATGGAGTCGGCGCCTATGGCCATGAAAGGATTTTGGCTGTTTAAAAGGATAAGCTACTTTAAAAGTCAAGGCAATTTCTAGTGCCTTGTCTTATCCATGTAAACCTATTTTAAAATTGAACTTGGCTATGATGGAAGCTGCTGTATAGTGAATCAGAGGTTCATCTAGCTCAATATTGTCTACACTGACTGGCAGCTGCTCTTTTCCAGAGTCTGAAGTCTTGCCCAACCTCGTGGAGATTGAACCGCTAAGCTTCAGCCACATGCATTTATCTGTGGATGTATGAACATACGTACCTAACCTTTCTACAAAAGTACACAAAGGCACCAAACTGACACACAGTACAGTGGTACCTCAGGTTACATATGGTTCAGGTTACATACGCTTCAGGTTACAGACTCCGCTAACCCAGAAATAGTGCTTCAGGTTAAGAACTTTGCTTCAGGATGAGAACAGAAATCATGCTCCGGTGGCAGCAGGAGGCCCCATTAGCTAAAGTGGTGCTTCAGGTTAAGAACAGTTTCAGGTTAAGTACGGACCTCCGGAACGAATTAAGTACTTAACCCGAGGTACCACTGTACAAAGCAAGACACAACTAAAACACAACTAAAGATAGGGCAAAATGCAGCCTAAAAACAAAACTCACAGCAGTGAAGAGCAACAGGGTTTTGTTGTTGTTGTTGTTGTTGTTTTAAAGCAGATCTCAAACACATTTATGGGACATCCTCTTTGAGCCCTGGGACAAGCCAGGAGAACTTTCCAGGGTGCTCCCCATTTCCAGGTTTCACTTCCAGGCTCCCAGCACCACTTGTGTGCATGGTCATGTGCAAATAGAGCATGCATAAATGGGGAGTCGCCTGTATACAAAAAGGAGAATTATTGGGTGCCAAGATCCAAGTTTGGGGCAAGTATTTTTTGGTGTGAGAACTACAGAGATTTAAAGTAAAAACATATGCAGTATAGTAAGGAAATATAGAATGTTAGACCTTTAAAATATCCCCTTGTGAGTTCCAAGGTTCCCCTCTTCCCCTGGCAAAGAAAAATACCACAGGTTTTGTAAGTTAAAAGTGGTTTACTTACAAACTCTCCAAAGGTAAGATTCATGTGCTT